AGCATGCATTTTGGCCTTAGAGTGGACTCAATAATGAAGTCAGCTTGGAAAAGGTGAAATATTCTTGGATCACTCATATTTAATCCCAAGCACTTTTCAAGGGTAGAGCCCAATGTCCACACCCTCAAATGAATGAAAGGCATGCTGAGAAATTGTGCTACATTCTTCTCTGGGCAGTGGTTAATGTGCAGAGCCGATGAATCTTTGAAGGGAAAACACTATTTCATTTGGGATACCAAATTAGAGAAAGCTGAGGGGTCTACCCACTCAGATTCATTCCTGAAGAACCAAACTTCTTCTGAGCACTGTTGAAAAGTTAAGAGTTATGCAGTGCCTCTCAGTTTTGGAGACACAGATAAGTTACCAAAGCCTGGTATGGCTCCAAGACCATCCCATTTGTTGCTGCTTAGTGTGGTGGTCAGCTCACCATTATGATGAACCCAGAAGTGTCTCACTCATCCATTATCTCTGTCCCACACAAGATGAGAAAGAGGAAAAGGTACTGCTTTAAAAGCAAGCAACCTGTTTCATCAGACTGGAGAAATAAAAAGTTAATTCATGGCTGCAGGCAATTACACATTTACATAGTTACGTAGCTAGAACATAGTAGAAGGTCTGTTAGGTAAAGTCATTAAGTTTGCATTTTATTTCATTTTGAACTTGAGTTTCAAGGAACTAGAACCTTTTCACAGACATAGTTTGCACTATTTTTATTAGCCCAGTCAAGGAGCGCTTATTGAGCAGATTCATTTAATGGCTGATTTTTACCAAGGATTTCCCTTTTCAATAGATTAGACCTGTCCTATTGAACTCATAAGTGATTAGCTGAGTTGAGTCTTTCTTGGAGTAGGAAACATGTAAGTTCATCCTTTTCAAGTTTTAGTTACCTTTATTAAGTTTAATGAGCTCCATTTCAACAATAAAAAAAGAGTAAGTGTGGAGATGAATTCATGCACATGCATTTGACTTCAGGCCCCCTGAAAGCACAGTTTTCAAAGAGGTAAATAGAAGCTCTTTCGTGAATTATCAGACCAGCCCTTGTGTCTCCTGTTCAAGGGCCCTCCCCCTACCCACAAGGTGAGAGCAGTGTGTGTGTGTGTGTGTGTGTGTGTGTGTATGTGTGTGTGTGATGATTAATATGTCTAATTTGAATTGTTCAACTTGTTTCAAGTGCCGCAATTTTGTCTGTTGTTTTTCTTTTATTTTTTAATTATTACAAGCCATTAGAGTGTTCAGTTTGACATGAGCATGAGAGGTGAAGAAGCTGAAATTGTCTGTCCCCAGCTTTCCTAGCTTTGAGCTCCTTTTGAATCACAGCCAGACAAGGCATTTATAGAATTTGTTGAGACAAAATCACTCCATAGAGCAGAGCAGTAATTTGGTAGTAGTATGGAATTTTAACTACTAAGGCAACATTTTCAGAAGCCTTAACTAAAATCATGTTTAAAATATTGTCAATATTCCATTAAGAGAGGATTTGGGGACTTCATTTGGAAATCAGCTCAACTCTTGACTGTGGCTTCTTTAGTGTGACTTTTTAAGGTGATTCTTTCTAACATTTTTGGTTTTCCTTGCTGCACAAAAATTTCTAAAATATAAATTAGTTTATATCCATCAAGTTTTCTTTTACCAGGTTTAACTATATACCTTTATACCACCTGTTTCACTAAAAAAATGAATTTTTGAACTTTTTAATAGGAAAGTTGGAAAACAGAACTGGCTCTCTCTTTCTCAGAGTGTGATTAGTACATTTAAACTCACCGTTGATTCATTAGGGCATGTGAGATTCATTCAGTCAGTAAACACTGCATGCCAGGCACTCTTCTAGGAACCAGGGCCAAGGCAACAAAGAAAGCAGAGCTCTGTCCCTCATGGAACTTACATTCTAGTTTGGGGAAATAAACAATAAATAAATAATTTTAAAAATCTAGTGTAAGAGATGGTGAAACGCTATGGTGGGGGGAGGGATGGGAAGCAAAGAAAGCAGATAGAGTTTGGGGGAATTTAACTAGGATAGAAAGTGATGCTTGAACAAGGACCTGAAGGAAATGAGGGAACAAGCAAGGAGATATCTGGAAGAGAATATTCTAGGAAAAAAAATATGTGTAGAAGCCTTGAAGCAGGAACCTGCCTGTGATGTTCAGGAGGAGTCTGTCAGAAAGAATGCATATACCTGTAAGAGAAGGATTCATTTCACACAGAATGCACAGGGAAGCCCAGCCTGACATCTCAGAGATGTAAACCATTGTTTTTATGAGAAATTTTGACTAAGGTCAATCTAGAAGTGTGTCTTGCTTGACGTGAAAATATTTGAAAGTCTGAATGTTTTTTAAAAAGGTTAAAATTCGAGGTTTATGAAAACAATTTATCCCACATTTGTTATTAAAAAAAATAGCAAGTTTTCTCTAGTTGCATTGCCAAAAGTGAAGCCTATCTGCTCTGAAAAACAATATTAAAGCACAAATTTAAAAACAGGCACATGGTAGTTCAGTAATTTTATCACTGAATACACAGAACATTATGCACATTTAGTAAATAAGCAAGCTCACAATAAAGACTCATAGAAATACTAAGTATAAAGCTCTTAGAAAAATAGCAACAATTGTCTTCTTCATAATTACCATACCTGAAACTGTAAAAGCATGGCTCCAACCACAGTTTTTAAACCATTTCTTAGTTCACACTAATAGTGAAAAAGGACTTCCCTATTAACATTTCTTCTTTGGTTCTGTTCAAAGTGAGTAAGAAAAATCTAAAGTGTGATTCATCTTCAGTAAACCTGTTTTTTCCATCAGAAAATAAAACCAGTTTTTACCAAAGATCAAATCTTTCCATTTTTATTTTGTATTTATTTACTTTTTGCCTTTGCCCTTTCTACAAATTCTATAATTCTATAATTCTCAAATCCAATCTGATAACTTGGATTAAAGAACTCTTTGTGCCAAGAGCCTGGCAATGTGGCAAATATGCCACCTTAAATCCAACTATTCTTTGTAATTCAAATATTGCCAGGTTTAGCTTTGTTTGGATCAATTAAATTCGTGGAATGGAAGCACACTTAAAAATAAACCAAAGTACAATTTTTTCTGTCTAGAATCATAATATTCTTAGCCTTCCCCACAATACAAAAACATTAAAGAAGACCTCTTTCTATACATAAAAGTAGGAAGTGAGATATTGTACATTTCAGTATAAGCTAAAATAATCTGAAACAAGAAGATGGTGGAAGTTAAGAAGCTCTCAGAATTTATAGCACCTCATCCCTTGGTGATGGGTTTAAATTTGTGTTACAATATTCTCTCCCTTCTGAGGTTATTGCCCAGCTTAATTTTTATGCATAATTTATCTGTATGGCAATAATAATAGCTAACATTACATGTCAGGCGTGGTACTAAGTGCCAGGGACAAGTAAAAAAAAAAAAAAAAAAAGGAAAACTAGGACCATGTCCTCAAGGAGATTACAATATAGGGATAGACATTTATGATCATTATCTTCATTTTATAGTTGAAGTCATTATCTTAGAAAGAGACCAACTAGCAATGGGATGTGAACCAGGTCCATTTGCCTCTAAAACCTAGACTCCTCTAACATATGAATAAATTGAAGCACTGAACAATTGTAAAGGCTGCAGTAGATCCATTCTTCAAGGTCCCCAGGCATATTCCAGCTGACCCAAACTGGAGATAGAAGAATGTACATGGTCATTCCAGGGTCAAGCTTTACAGGGTATTTTGAGAACTTTGACATTGTCTCACAAGACACACTGCAAAATACTTTCCATGTCGATGGACCTCCAGGGTAAAACGACACCCGAACCCACAAAGTCCTGGAACTCTGAGCCCTAAGACACATAAAATCCCTGTAAAGAAGATTTCATCAGGGCTCCTTCTGCCTGTCGTCTTCTGGAAAACTTCCACCAGCCAGCCCCTCAGCACACAACAAGAATAGAGTCATTCCTTCTATTCTTTCTCCTTCAGAAGAAGTTTCTTGGGACTCATCCCCATACCATAATGAATCCTAAGATCCCTTTTTCACAGTATCGTTACTGCTCCCATGGATGTGCATTCAGCATTCCACTTCACATCTCTACACAAACAATAAAGAGACCAGCTGTGCAAACCTGAAATATATTGCACAGAGAAACCCTCTAAGGGGGCTGACTAGAATGTGCTGCTAAACAAATAACCCTTCATAGTATTTTAATACTTTTGATATCAAGTGGCCTTATTTATAAGCATATTTTTTCTTGGTGTGGGAAAACTACTTTATTTTTTTCATCATACTGTGAAGATTACATTGAATTTCCATCACAGGGAGTGAGGAAAGCAAGTCAGTTTGCTTTTACATTGCTTTGAAGGTATTCCATTGGTCAAAATGACTAAGTATGACCAGAATTCATCAAAGACAATATCTATATCTTTCTAAACTAAAAGGGAAACAACATTAAATAGGAACTGAGTGGCTCATTTCATAATTGAGAAGCAGTGTTGTCACGACTTTAAAAATGTTTAAGTCTCTTTACCCATTACCCTAATTCTAAACTATACTCCCCCCACCCAAGCCCCTATTTATCCACAGAGAATGATTTTCTAACCCTTCTCCTCCATCTAAAAAGTCCTTCATTATCACACTTCACTTGACTGCCATGTGTAGGAGCTAAGAAAGGAGTAAAATTGTAAGCAGATTTTAAGGCTAACAGAAATCACTCACTTTTTATTTTCTACCCTAACCTCTCAGGCAAGTCAATAAATACATAGTAAATTTGAATTTTGGTCATGACACTACAAGATTTAGCCTGCCATAGTAATATTCTTTAACTTCATTTCAGAGCCTCAAAATAAAGTTATTTGGTCTAGTTGGTCAAGAAAAATTGGCATTTGCAACCTAACATTGGGCTCAGGTGGCCGGCTGAAAACGAGGCAGTCCTTTCCTATCCAGAGCAGTGGTGTTGAGCAGGTGAAGAGGTGTCAGCCGGCTGGCATCTGGATAGGCGTCCATGTCAGGAGCGGTACGCTGCAAAGTCTCGTGTTGGGGCGTAGGGATGGTAGTGCTTGCGGGTGGGCCCTGGCCTCCGAGGGGTCATGTTCATGTAGTCACTCTGAAGAATCCTGTTCCTCTTATTCTTTATCTGCAGAAAAGAAATATGTCACTGTGAAGGGGCCAAGGACATGGAGGGAGATAGCGTGCAAGGAGTTCTAAGACTTTGGGGACAACTTTACCAACCACAAACTGTCAAAGGAAGCTGAACACCAGAATTCATTGAGCACCTTGGACTTGGACCATGACTAGTCAAATCTAACTACTTTGGACTCTTCTAAGTCAACTTGAAAAATCTGAATCAAAGAAATTATATTATAGAGAAATGCACCCCTGTCACTCCCAAAACAGTCATTTAACCTGAATTTCAAAAGTATTTCTAATTAACATATCTGCTGTTGACAAGTAAATATTCTTGAAGGCCCTTCCTCATTTGCAAAGGTTAAGCATCCCCACTGCAGTCTTCTTACATTAGCCATTTGCTTAACAAGCTGTTTTTCTATAATTAACCAAAGAGGACCTTCAGTCCCTCAGAGTCTGGAGTAATCATAAATTCATAGCCGTGTATTCCAAATTAATGGGAAGATAGTTCTAGGCAACTAGTTATATTCCTATTCCTTTATATGTATTTACATGCTCATAAAGACAATAGAGTCACTCATATTTATTCCTCAGGTTCAGCTCCTTCTGGATGAATTTCTCCGAGGGATGAAGACAGTGGGACAATACTTAACCTGAAGCAAGTTACACCTCCTGAATCTTAGCAAAGTTTTGATTAAGGAATGTCTTCTCCAGATCAATGTGATAGTAAAATGTATACATTTGATAAAAGGCTCATAAAAATTTTTAAAATAGAAAACCATCCAGATTTTTGGATTCAGAATTCTCTACTATGGAAAAAAAAAAAGTGCCTATTTCTTGGCTCATAGGCCTGATACATAAGTAGATACACTGCACATGAATGATATGAACACCTGCATAAATTATCATGCACATGACTTCAGCCCTGTCCTTATTTCCATGCACTTCTTCCTAAGCACTTCACTTGTCAAAGAGGCATAGGCAAGTGTTAAAGAAAGGTTGGGAAAATACTGACCTTCACATTACTAAAAATGACTAACATGTTTTCAGTCCTCATCTTCTTGAACCCTCAGCAGCATTCTTTATTATTGATTATTCTCTCCCTTTTGAAACACTCTTCACTTTGCCTTCTATGAGATATCACTCAGGTTTTCATCCTGCCTTTCTGACCACTCTTTCCTGCCTCCTCTCCATGCTCATCCTTCTCTAACTAGCCATTCAGTATTAGATTGTCCCACTGTTTTTGTCCCAGGCCTTTTCCTCTACTCACTTCATCCTCACTCTCCCTAGGCAAGCTCATCAACATTCCCAGCTTCAATTACCACCCATTCACCCAAATTTATATTCCTGGAGTAGACTTCAAAGTCATTTTAAACTCAACATATCCAAAACAAAACTTAAGATCTTCCCCTAAAATCTGGTCCTTTTCTGGGGTTTCTCACCTCTGTGTGTGACAAGACATATATAAAATTGCCTCAGCCAGACCTCCTAAACCTCATTCTTGCCACCTCCAGCCCCATTACTCCCTGTCCTAGGGGACATTTTTCAATGTCTGATGACATTTTGGGCTGTTACACCTGGGAAGAATATTACTGGCATCTAGTGGGTTAGAGGCCAGAGATGTTGCTAAATATCCTATGTTGCACAGGGCAGCCCCCATCAACAAAGAATCATCCAGCCTAATATGTCAATAATGCAAGACTGAGAAATCCTAATCTAGACTCTGATCATGAGAACAGAAATGGAATGAAAGGAAGCAAAGATACAAAATGTATCATCAAATTAGCATAAGCGTTGTTAGACTGCTTGACTCCTCCTTCTTGCTCATACCCAAAGATAATTGATTATTTGAGCCTACTTGACTAGACGGATGGGGTTTCATCCATAGACATAAGGCAAGACAGCAGGAAGAGTGTATCTGAAGGAGATTATAAATTCTTCTTTAGTCATTTGGGACTTGAGATGATGGATGAGTTATCTAGCTGGAACTAAGAAGAAAATAGCATTAAACACACATAATTGGGGAATTCATTCGGAGAGAGGTAGTCATGGAAACCAAATGCATGAAGGAAGTTGCTCTTCAAATATCTTGATTCTATATCCTTTCTATAAATCAAAGACAGGAGTTCTCTTGGACACAGGGTTACAGCAGGACAGGCATAAGGACATGGGGATGCCTGCCCCCAACTCAATATGGAAGGCTGCTGATGATACCCAGGGTAACCAGTATGTTAGTATTTATTCCCACCTTGAGGATTCTCCTTGCCAGATTCCCAAGTGATAGCCTTTGTCTCCAGATACCCACATAAATCTATAGCTGTTAGAGAATGCCCCTAAATGAAGATGTCTTCGTTCTGAGTTCTTCAGGTTGCACACAAATACTGTGAAAGATCTGCAGCAATCAACTCCCATGCTTACCCACATGCTGTTATTGAATAGTGGATTTAGTCATCATCACCCTGACTCTAAACACAACAGTAGAATGGAAATGACACATGCATGAGTTGCGACACTATAGAGAAGCCACAGCTTCCATGTGCATCTAGCATATGTATATATGTTTGCAGAATACCCACTTCATGTATCTGTGTAACTGGGTCATCTACTCTGTCCTCTGCCCCTTTACCATTCAATGTCTGCTAAAGGTGTATGATTAAACCCACCTCCCTTGCCCTTCCCTTCACTGCAGCCTCTACCCACTTGTTTCCTGGGAGCAGCAGCAAGACCCAAGGCGTATACAAGGCAATTCAGTGAATGGAGGGAGGATTGAGTGAGAGTAGCAGGTGCTGGTCCATGGCAGCCTGGCCTCGGGGAGCTCTTTATTTATTCAAATGTCAGCAATAGGTCAAGAACTGAGTTAGAATCTGCAGCTGCTCCCAGAAACCCACTCAGCCTAGAACTGCCTATGGTAGCTTGTCACAAGCCCTCAGGAAGTTCCGGAAAACAGCAACTTGCACCAAGGCACAGGGCAGATCAGCCAAAAATAGGACCCCAAAAAAGTACCCAGGAAAAGGCTAAACTGTAGAGATCCTTAATGGCCTGGCTGACTAGCTCAGCCAGGTGCTAGTTGCTTAAACAGTAACAGCAACAAAAAAAAAAAGATGAGCCCAGAGTAAAAATGCTATGTTATTTTATGAAATATACATATATATTTATTACACACCCTTTTGGTCAAAGAATACAAAGACCTAACTAGGTCTGAGATGCAAATAAAGTGTAGTTAGTGAGTAACCAAGTTGACTACAAGAGGCCACAGATATAAGACATACTAAACACTGGAACTTGTCAGTTTACAGGGATCCCTGAGACAGAATAAGACCAAAATAAGCTTTCTCAAGACAAAGCAAGATGAACCCCACTGGGAATTAGTGGTACTGCCAAAGAAAAACCCATACTGTCTATGTTGTTTTTGAGTTGAAAGTTAACTGTTAAAACTCCTTGAAAATGAGAAGCTACTTTTGTCCTTTTGGTTGACTTGAGTCACTTAGCAAGTTAGTGCCTGATTACAGTAACTGATATTTTAATGCGTATTTACAACAAGTTTTAAATGGTCGTCAATACCCTTCTGCCCACTGAAAGTTAAAACAGTTCCCAAAAGTATTTCCTAGGTCAATTGACCTAAGTCAGCACATTACAGGGGAGCACCTATCCTGGAAGAGTACCCAAAAAGCTACTGCACCTGTCTTTTAAATTAAGAAGTTGAGATTTCCAATGGGATCAGGAAAAAACAAGAACCAAGAGTCCAAATTCTAAAATCATTAGCAAATACCACAGTTGTTCAAAGCTAGAAGGGGCTTTGGATAAAGACTGCAAGATCCACAAAGATAAGAGGGCTCAGTTAACATCAGAGAAATACAAGGGCAATATTTCACTGTACAAAAAGCCCCCATCAGGCTTAGGCAACTTGAAGAAGTCAAGGCAGGCAAATTCTCAAGATGATATCTAGTATAAAGGATTTCCAGGAACAAGCAGCTATTTTGTTCTCTGCAGAAGGTAGAGATTAGGCTACAGGCAGCATGACCAATGTCCAGAATAGCTGAACGATCTTCTGAAATGGGAGGAGTATGTGGGGTAAAATTGAGAGGCAAACTCTGGCAAACAGGCCAACAAGAGATTAAGAACATCCTAGACTGTATTTATCATTGGCGTGACTGTGAACCCATGACTGCCCAACCCCTCCCAGCACCAAGACTATAATAAATAGGATGGATTCACATGATGTGGCTTCCAGAAATCTCTGACCCATGTATGGATTAGTTAAATGCATGGGTTATGCCTTGAAGATGGGTATTATACTTTCAGGCATGTTCATTTAAGTCCTTAGTTTGACCTCTATGGAAATTATTAATTTAAGCATTCATTAAGCATTGAATGTACTTAATACTAGATAGATGGTGAATATAAATAGTTCTTTATTCTTTAGGAGGGTACAGTTCTTGTTGAAGGAATGACTCGTACATACATCTAAATTTTAGAAAAAAATATCAAAGACAAAATGGAATAAATACTTACCCCAAAGTTTACATAAGAACAAGAAGTCCCTGCATAAGGGAAACATCCTTGATAAAGAGGTCCCTTATTAACAGTAGATATGGTCATCAAGAGGTCCTCAAACCTCAGCAAAAAATTCAACTTTGAAGAAGGTAAAAAAAAAAGAGTACACCAAGTTTATTGCATGAACATTTGCAAAAATTGGTAAACTCCAATTCAGTGATGAGAGCTCAGGAAAGTCTAATTCTCATTATAGTTTCATAATGACAGCACAACACTTGGCCTCACAAGATTCAACTGCTTCTGAAGAGATAAAAATATGACTCAGATAAACAGACCTAGTGTTTTTGTTAGGTTTGAATGCATAATTTCAGTAGCCAAATTTCTAATGATTTTTGACACTGAACCAAAGTTTTTCATGGATTTCAGTTGTCTAGGTTCCCAAGTTGCTTAAATTTTTATAAATATGTATATATTAAAATTGATTTATATGTCATAATGATATTGAAAATGGGGATAAAAAAGTAACTGCCCTTATTATGCCCACCCTAATTTAACCAACTAGTTTCTTATACTGTCTGGCTAAATAACCAGTGCCGTCTGGAAAATAGAACACCCATTAGATTTTTATTGCAGATAAAGTTGGACTGGCTGAAAGACAACCTTCTTAAACCTAGCAGGGAAAAATAAAATAATAAAAGTCACATGGGTAACAGAAAATAAACAACATAGACAAAATTCTTGGATATAATCAGACTGCATGTGCAATAGAAAAGTTACATAAAAGCAGTGCTGCTTCTCTTACCCAGCAAATAGAAAGAATCACTGTTGCTAGGAAGCTATAAAAAGCCAAGATTCCAACCACCACCAGTGCCCAAAGTTGTTTAGAAGACTCAGGAGTTCGGGGAGTTGAACATGGATGATTCTCTGAAAAATAGAATAGAGTAAATTAAATGATATGCAAGTGGCACTTGAGTAGATTTCCTTCTTTCTGAACATTATAGAAGAATGTGAGAACCACCAAAATATCACTAGCTTAGAATGTGTAGACTTCCTCTTTGGTCTACACTTTTTGGAATTTATCCAATCCCACCACTAATCATGATGGAGTTTTCAAGACTATAGTTGCAAACCATTACTTTAGAGTGGTACACTGCAGTTGCATGTTACCTTTCACATGGATAATGGTTCCATTGCTCTTCTCATTGTCTATGTAAGGAGGAGGATACATGACTTCTATTTTGCAGAAGTAAATATCTGTTTGGTTAACAAACAAATTCCAGAGGTAGAATGTCACTGTTTCATTGCCCAATTTCCCATCACAGTTGAATCCCGTTTTTGAGTGAAAGGGAAGCTGATGGGAGTAGTTTCCATTCACAACACAGACTTCCACAGCACTGTCTGCTCCCTTATAAAGGGATGCCCGGAACTCCTTTGAAAAGAGGTTGTAGGTATATTTGCAGCTAAGGTTGACGGCATTGTTGTCCACCACAAGCATGGGCGACTGCTTCACCAAAATCTTGTTTTCTGGAGGAGGAAAAATCATTTGCTTAGAACAAGGGTATAAAGACTTTTTCCCTAAAATCAAAATATAGTCATTAACAAAATAAACAGATCTCTGGTAAAGGCTTTTTCTTGGCAGATGAAGATGCAGAAGCTCTTTTGGAGATAATTATACCAAGAGTTTAAAAGTTTACTGCCTTATAGTATTTTCATTCTCCTTGGAATGAAACAATGGAGCATGCCTATTCAGATCATTTGCCCATTTAACTGGGTTGTCTTTTTATTATTGAATTATCAGAGGTTTTTACATATTTTGAGTCAAGTTCCTTATCAGATATGTGATTTGCAAGTATTTTCTCCCATTTTGTGGGTCATTTTTGGTATTGTCTTAAAAATTCTCCTAGTTGATGCTAATATTCAGACAGGATGCAAAAATCACTATAGTCTAACAGATTTCTCAAGCTGACAACATAGTAGAATCACCTGGGGAACTTGTACAAACCCTCAATTCCCAGGCCCATTAAATCAGAATGTCTGGGTTTAGGACTTAGGCATCACTAGTTTTAAAATTTCTCAGGAGATTCAAATTTGCAGTCAAGTTTGGGAACCAGTGACTTAGCAGATGAAAACTCATTTTTATCCTCAATTCACAGGCCTCCATAGGCTTCCTCGTTTCCTCAAACCAAAACCTTCCCAGTTAGCTGGATCATTTAAGTCAGCAGCCCAGGAATACATTGTGAGTGTTCTTCCCTCCATACTTTGTTCACTAACTCCATGGCCTAGTGACTCGCCCTTCTCAGGCCTCAAAACAATTACTGTATGTATCACTCATTTGCCATTTGGTCAGGTTCAACATTTTGTTTTTTATGTCTTTTGTTTATTGGATGATTATTGGTCTATGTGACATATTGGTCTCATTACTTCAACCTGTAAGTTTTATATGATTCACTATTTAGTGTGTATTAAATTGTGGGCATTGATTTCTACTAGAATGAATACTGATTGAATTGAAAATACAGTTGCCCCTTGAATAGCTTGGGGGTAAGGAGTATTAACCCCAGCGCAATCAAAAATCTGTATATAACTTTGACTCCCCCAAAAGTTTACTAATAGCCTACTGTTGACTGGAAGCCTTACAGATACCATAAACAGTGGATTAATATACATTTTGTATATTTTATGTATTATATTCTTATAATAAATTAAGCTAGAGAAAAAGGTTATTAAGAAAATAATAAGGAAGAAGAAATAATTTATAGTATTTATTTTAAAACTTAGCATATAAGTGGACCTGCACAGTTCAAACCCACATTGTTCAAGGGTCAACTGTATATTTTTGAAACACCATTTTGAAAATACTAGAATGTTATTTTCCACTTTATATATTATGAAAATTGGTTAAATTACAACTATCTGAGAATCTTTCTTAGTTGAAAGTATCATGTCTATAAAATTGAGCTGAAAGTTTGCAGGAATAAATTACCTTCAAAGGAATTGTTTCTGTAAATTAACTATTTTGGACAAGCTGTGCTAAGATAATGGCCATTGATATAATGACAATGAGATCAATTTAATTCTAAATACTCACACATGATAGCGCCACAAAACTAATTCCAGTTTACGTGTTCACTAGTTTTTAAATTGCAGATGATGCTATCTCAATGTAAATGAATGTGCTCAACAGCCATCAGCCTTCAATCTTTTCATTTATGTTTCTTTTGTACTTTCAAAATACAGCAAGTTTTGTTTTTAACACCTCTTGTTTTATATGTTTCAATTTATTCAGCTTTTGATTTGCATGTTTTTCCTCTAGACCTCTAGTTTTCAAGTCTCTTGAGAGCAAGGACCATATGTTACGCTTCTTTGTATTATATTGTGCAAATGATAGGGTCTTATTAAATAACCACTTAGTGAAAGATGGTCATCTGACTATCATTCATATCAGCAGCTAAGCCTAACTACCATCTCACTAAATCCTCCTTCAAAATTTGTCTGAACAATAACTTTAGCTTCATTTATTATTCGTTCAACAAATACTGCCTAAAAGCACTAAAAAGTAAATATGTAAAGAATCAAAATTTTCAGCCTGTCTTGATAGGAAAATCTAACTTGTTTTTTGTTTGGTTTGGTTTTACTTGGCCTTTTTCTTTGTGTACTTAGAAGGGATCTTCGGGCAGGTTCTGAGTGGGAGAACCAACCCTAGAAAGAAATGCCAGCATCTCCCTTCCTTTTCTGGGAGTAAAGGTTAGGTTATTTGTATTTCTCCTTACTGAGTTCTGCAGAAATTTTATTTTTGTTACTAATTATTTGGATTCTCCTGTAATGAGCATTCAAATTCCTCCTGATCTGCCTTTGAAAGCTGATTTAAAAAAAAAAAAAGAAGAGAAGAGACTAGGACTTCTTTGCAGAGATTTTTAAAAAGGGTGGATGGAGGAGCTTGGACAGGGAAATGAGTAAGGCTGGAAAGAAACCCTGGGTGGCTACCCAGGTGGGCTTCTTTCTCCTAGCACCCACAGTGAGGACGGGAACTGAAGGGAGAGTACAGGACGAGAAGCAATGTTACTATACTCCATAGCATCTATCTGTACTCCAGTAGTTTGCTTACTATGTCTTATGTAGCTCAGGGTGTGACACCTTCCCAAGATGCATGTAGGAGAAAAAAATTTGATTTCTCATACATAAACAGAGTTCAGTTTCTATCCTACAGCAGTTCACAGTCTGATGGGGAAGAAAGATACATGAATAGACAACTAAACTACTTAAATAGTGGCACAGTGGTCACACAGTGTTTCTGGGGGCAACTATGGGGCCAGCTAAGGACTCCTGGAGGTGCTGACTTCTGGCCTGAGTCTTGAAGGATGATACATATATTAACTCAATGGGTTTTTATTAAATAAAAGTTAGCCTAGCTAAGATGAGTTTTTGTGTTAAAAGGCAGGGTAAGGTAAAAGTGTGTGTTGGGGTAGAGGGTGAGGTAGAGGACTCTGTGGAAAATAAAACAAATAGGAGCAGTCTAGGCAAAGAAGATAAGGAATTGAGATCTTAAGAGTATGCCTGATGTAGGGAATTACAGCTACCTCAATTTTGCTGGACCATAAGTTGTAAAAGACAAGATTGGCAAAGCAAGGCATAGTTCATAACTTGGGAGCTCTCCTTTAGGCCTGAGGATCTATTAAAGGATTTTAAGCAGAAGAGTGGTATGTACAACTTTTCATTTTATATAGATTACTTTAGCAAAAACGTGGAAAGTAAATTTGAAGGGTACAAGAGTGAAAAGATGGAAACCAGTTAGGATACAATTCCCATAGTCTAGGCAAGAGATGATAAGGTTAGAAAGAATTACAGTTTGAAAGAAGTGAAAAAATTCAAGGAATATTTACAGGCTAAAATTAACAAAACTCCATATTGACTTAGACATAGTGAAGGAGGGAGAAGGAGTTAACAATGACTGTCCTCGGGCCACACACACCAATCAGTAAATAACATTGTTTTCCTTTTGCCTGCGTCTCTTCTTCATTCATTACATAACCAGAATAGACAGCTCAGGAACTGAGGTGAAGTTCGAACATCTGGTATATAAAGAAGACATTCTTCAAGCCTAAGGAATCATTGCAAAGAAAATATGAATTACCCCAAAGGTTTATGGGAATATAGATGACTCCCTGGAGCTTAGTGCACTGTTTACTGTTTTTCGCAAGGGAAAAGCAGTGGTCTTTCTCTCTAAAACTATTTTTCCTTCATAAAGCATAATATAGTGAGATAACTAAAAGATAGATTTTCCTTCTGTTCATCATAGAGCCTCCAACTTCAAACCTTAGCATTGTTAAGACTGAATCAGATTTCTCTTGAGCCTATTCTACCTCAGCTCTAAAGTTGAGGGATTTCTCAAGGAAGAGCAATTCAAGATCCCAGTATCTAAGATGGCTGTTACACATTCAGTTTTCTACTGGTTGATGGCATATCCAACAACTGGGCAAAGGAAGGTAACATCTTTTTCTTTTAATTGAAGGATAATTGACATATAACGTTGTATTAGTTTCAACATTATGAACTGATATTTGAATATGTTGTAAAAAATAATCATATGTTGTAAGTATATGAGGTCTTTCTGGAGAAAGTTCCACCATTGTTAATCTAACAAGAACAGTTTGCACAATATCTATGTAAACTGAGAGCCAGAGAGTGGACTGGAATGCTCATGCTGAACCATGAACTTTGTTGTATTATTAGTCAGTGGGGGCAGTAGATGCAGTTGAGTGGGCATGTGTACCGTGTGGCCATCTCATTCAAAATGCCTGAGCGAGTAGAGTAATGAATCTGCATCAAATTTTGCATTAAGCTTGAACTTGCCTCCGTGGAAACTATTCAGATGATTCAGAAGGCTGGTGACTGGCAGCTTCAACATGACAACATGCCTGCTCAGACATCCCCTCTCGTGCAGAGTTCTCATCAACTCACCCCAGTCTCTCAGCCAATCCCCCTACAGCCCAGACTGGCACCCTGCAACTTCTGACTTTTCCCAAAACTAAAATCACTTTTGAAAGGAAGAGATTTCAAGACCGTCAATGAGATTCAGGAAAATACAATGGTTGGGGCAGCTGCTGGTAATTGGCAGAACTGTGTGAGGTCCCAAGGTGCGTACTTTGAAAGGGACTGAGGTGTCATTGTCCTATGTACAATGTCTCTTGTATACTCTTCAATAAATGTCTGTATTTTTCATATTACATAGTTAGAAACTTTCTGGACAGATCTCATATTTAACATCCATTACTATACATAGTTACAGAATATTTATTTTTTTATTAAATTTATTGCAGTGACATTGGTTAATAAAATTAAATAGGTTTCAGGTGTACGATTCTGTAATACATTTTCTGTATATTGTATGTTCACCACCCCAAGTCAAATCTCCTTCCATCACCATTTATCCCCTAACCACCCTCTTCTACCAGCCCCACCTCTCTTTCCCTCAGGTAATCACCAAATTGTTGTCTGTCTATGAGGCGTTTTCTTTTTTGTTTTGTTTTGTTTAATCCCTTCATC